AGCAGAAAAGCAATTCTCAGTCTTGATTTTTTGAACAAAGCTGCATAACCAAACACAAGAGGGGGGAATGAACCTGCGGAGGCGCCTGAACAAAGATGCATTCAAGGAAGAAGGTTCAGCAAATGAAGAAGAAGCAAGCATTTGATTAGCTACTGCTTACAAGGATCAGGGTTAAGATATTACGGAAAATGGAAAGAGAAATGTTCGGATAGCACACCTACACTACAGCAGAAAAGCAATTCTCAGTCTTGATTTTTTGAACAAAGCTGCATAACCAAACACAAGAGGGGGGAATGAACCTGCGGAGGCGCCTGAACAAAGATGCATTCAAGGAAGAAGGTTCAGCAAATGAAGAAGAAGCAAGCATTTGATTAGCTACTGCTTACAAGGATCAGGCCACTCACACACTACCGCAGAGTAATTCCTACTACGCCTGAGGCTGCAGAGGCGCGGGAGCTTGGCGCAACCGGGAGCAGACGACGCAGAGCAGCCCGACAGCCGACGCCGCGGCGAGAGCCCCACCGGCACATGCCGTCCGGTCGGCGGCGAGCTGGTACGACGCGCACACGGGCGTGGCGACGAGGTCCGCGATTAGCGCGGAGGACGCCGCTCCGACGGCGAGCAACGCGAGCAGCCACTCGAGCGCGGTCAGGACGACCAGGAGCTTGACGTCGGCCGGCGGGGGCGGCGGCTGCTGCTGCTCATACTTGAGCCAGCACGACTCGGCCAGCAGCAGGAACGCACCAACTGGGACGCCCACCAGCAGCAGCGTCATGCATAACCTCCTGAAAAATTCGAATAATTTGTCATGACGAGAGCCAGCCGTCGATCCATCAGCGAAACTACATAGTAGAAAGATTATACGATGGAAATGTGCTTAACTGGTGTGGGTCCTCGAGCGTGAACTGGATCACCCCTGGGACGCAGTCCTCCGCGAGGACGGCCAAGACAAACGCCGTGATGTCGAGGGCGAGGCTGCCGCCGCTGCACACGACGATGAGCCACCCTGCAGCAGCCATATGAACGAACCAACCTAGCTGGAAGCGAGTGTGAGACGGCGAGCCCTACACTTTTCCACCCTTGCTTGCAGTCTTGGTTACAAGTTGTGGGCAGGCACATGGATCGCTTGGCTGTGTCGAGCCATCTTGAAGCCCAGGGTGCTGAGGTGTTTCCTTTCTTGGCTCCTGGGTGTTTTCAAGCCATGCACCTCTGCTCATCTTGATCCGGTATAGATGACAACATAGAGGTAAATACACCGATGGTGCTTGAACTTGTTACGGATGTGCAGTTTAGTGCCTGAACTTGTAAAATACATTGAACTGGTTTCATAACTTGGCATGGACGTGCATATATGGTTTAAATGATGTTTGTATACATCCGCGACGCTGATGAGGCGCGCCAACATGGAATGGCACCCGAGGTGTGTGGCCTGTTTTTTTTTGCAGAAACCCCTTCGGAATTATTTTTCATACAATAAGGCCCTTGTAGAGAAACTGACAAATTTTTTGCTTCGTGATGATTCATAACCTTGCGCTACAATTATTTTTCGTACTATAATTATAAAATAATAAAAAACTAGCGATGTGGTGGTTACAAAAGGGAGATCTACTAGTCAAGTGCATGCTGGGCTAGCCAATAGACCACTTCACATTTGCTGCTCCATGATGATTCATAACCTTTATAAACTAGGTGGAACAACATAAATAAATGGATTTTTTGCGAAGTATAAATAAAAGAAATTTAATGAACCAACAAAAATAGTACCAACTATGTGACTCGAACATCCGACCAAAGCTTATGGACCAGGCACGGATGCCATTCCAACCAACGAGTTCTCATGTATCAAAAGTACAAGTAATCTTTATGACTGTCTAACAAACATAATTTCAAAAGAATGCAAAAATCTTCATGTCATTTAAAAAATCACATGTTATTTTAAAACATACTCATTCAATTGAAAATATTTATGAATGATAAACATGTTTATATGATTCAAGTATTATTCATATGAGGATCCGCAATCTAAGGGCGCGCTAGACTTGTAATTTTTTTAGAAAACACACGGTTTTTACTTAAAGCATTAGCACATTTATAAACTACGTGAATATTTTATTCAGAATGTGGAAATTTTAAAATTATATGAGAATTT